AGCCAGCGGGGCCAACTAGCAAGATACTGAAGCTTGGCCCAGTGGGAGATTCCTCCATCCACACAGTTTAGCGTAGATGGAGGAATCTGTTGCACTTTTTCCATCTGACCATAGAAAATCTGCAGATAATCTATAGGTGTATGGCCAGCTTAAGAGAGAATAGATGCATTGTATAAAATCCCTTGACAAGAAACTGCAGTTGCCTCTAGAAACACACATGTCCAGCTGCAGTATATTATTTCAAACCCATATTATAAAGAACTGAGCTGGCATAGTTGCTAAAGTAATTGCTAACTGATTTAATTTTTCACTAGGAGCCAAACTTAAAAAAAAATCATATTTTGTTATACAGATGCTTAATTTACTATTCTCTGTGATGTTTAAACTGCACTGCAAATGAAACTATTATCATGAGATGATTGTGGACTAATCACAGTATTCATGACTATGGGTGGCAGCAGATCACCTACCACTTGACAGTAATTCATGGCAAATTTTGACACATTGGCCTTTTTCAACCAATTGCTTTTGTGCCCCTCCATGAATAGACCAATCACAGTAATGTTTGCTAGCACTCCTCCCTCTTGACCAAAGGGATAAATGTCTAAAGTCAGTGGGGGTCAATTTTTCTAAATTATTTAAAAAAAGTTCATGCAACAAATGTTAATTTAGTGAATAAGCTGAGGCTGTAAATGCTCTAAAGATGAATACTCAGTCATGTACAAGCGAAATAAAATAAAACAGGGTTCATGCATGCTCATGATTGGATGACTGATGTGAATCAAACTTCACCTAATGCTAGGTTGACATTCCTTTTCCAAACTAAGAATACTCTAGTCCAACCTTAACCTTTTTTACCCCTTGGGGAACCCTTGAAAACATTTTCTTATCTACAGCTCGGTGTACATTAGTATGGTCAGTGAGTTGTAGATGTAGCAAAAAACTTGTAGATATAATAAACACAAACACTATTAAAAATATAAAACTGATTTTCATACTAAATATCTGAATAATGGAGTCACAAAAACACAGGTCTGGAGCGTTCTAAAATTAGTGCCCGAACACAGATCCTACATCTATGGGAGTCAATGGGTTCTTCTCGTTCCACATCCCGCACTGTGATGTCAGGAATCTGAACTATAAGCATAGCATCTGCCCGGCAGTAGTAAATTAGTGGTAGCTGCAGGGGGAAAAGTATAGTTACCGTCGGGCAGATACAAGTCTGCTGCAATTGTGTTGAAATCCCTGGGAACTTCTTACAGAGCCCTAGGGTTCCAGGGAACCCAGGTTGAGAAGCCCTGCTCTACCCATATAGTAAATCAAGCCCAATGGAGAGTCTCGGGCAAATGACACTTCTGAGTGTTAAAACAAATATGTCTTCCTTTTTCTCATTTGACTAATTCAATATTCGTTGCACTGAACAGACAATTATACCATGTGTGACATTAGCATAATGAAAGCCACATACTGCAAAACTTAAAGTTCCCAACATGAGCTCCAAGACGAGGAAATAATTACTTTGAAAAAAAAAATATATACAACAAATAAGAAAGGAGTGCCCGATATTGTGTGTATTAAAGGAGTGTGCAGCTGGAAGTCAATGCCTTTCATACCCTCATTTGAATAATGTGCCCTGAATCTGTCACTTTGTTCATCTTCCTTATGCTCTGCGTAGACGGCATCAACAACAAATTAAGTTGTAAATAAAGGACAATCAACACTTTTGTTTTTTTTGTTTTTTTTGTTTTTTCGGTCGCAAGTGCAGGGGGAACATGTCAATGCAAGTCTTTTCTTTAGAAAGGGAGAGTGGCAAGCTACGGTTTGCTTATATAAGCAGAAGCATGGGAAAGTGGCGCAGACGGGGCCAATTAGAAGAATGTCCCTGAACGGAGCGGAGGCCGCCCTTGGACATCGTTTAGGCATCCCTTAGGCTTTATCACACGATTATTACTTAACGTGTAAACAATGTCTTACTGTGGAGCCGAATGGCACAACTGCATTTCCTGTTTACGCGCGGTCTATCAGCCTTTTTCTACAACATCAGAGATCGGTAGAACATATGAAGCGTTGCTAACTTTTTAATTGTCCTAATGAAGTGAAGAAAAAAGCTGATGCAAGAGGCCAAAGTTTTTGTTTTAAAGGCTAAACCCAACAAGAATTATGGCAACGGGCAACGCTTGAATAGGTTGCATGAAGTCTATGGTTTAAACATATATCAGGATAACACAACTGGAAATATCATTTAAACTGTATAACTATTTTTTTTTTACAGTATTATATTTGTCAGATGGGTACAGTTAAATGTAAAAGATTTTACAGGTAAAAATTACAATATCATTGAAGAAGCACAACAGCAAAACATATTGACCCTGATCTACCACAGTAGAAGAGCATGTTCACTTTGCAAGGGAATTTTTACTTAGTGAATGTGGGAAAGCGCTGCTGACTTTAATTACTGCACATATATGAATAATTTCCTTGCAGGTGATTGGATATTCTTTACAAAGTGAGTTTTCACTACATTCACAAGCTAAGTGAAACTTATCTTGCAAAGTGGAGATGCTCAATTGCTTTAATAAATCAGGGTCATTGCATTTTGGTAACTTTATAGCATTGATACCTGTAATGATAATATTCAGTATATGTCAGCAAAAAGGGTAGTCGCAAGGGTTGATACAAACCATATAACATTACTGGGGGTGCTTACAACAGCTGCCACTAGAAGGGGTGTTCCCATTGGAAGATTTTCCTTCTGTTTCTGTTCCAATGACAACTATAACATTTAGGATTTCGCAGCACTTTTTGTCTCGGTGATAATGGTTATCAGCACAAATGGAGAAGGTGAATCTGCCAGTGGTGACACAGACAGCAAGAAAAACCTCACAGAGGCTCTAAAACCTCATCCCTCTATCCAAAGGTTTTGGCTGCACATATACACCATTTAAGAACAAACTACAGTTTATTGTCATGAAATATTATTTAAATAATATTACTATTATTATTGAATTATTATTACAATAACAGTTGCTGCCCCTATATGGGCCCTAAAATGGATGAAAAGCCTAAACTTTCTTTGTTTTGGCTTGAATAAGTAGGGACGGCTTAGAATACCTGGCAGGTTTTTTTTACTGTCTATATTTCCGCTAGGGATATGCACCATCTGTATTTGTCTTGGTAACCATTGTCATCGGGACTTGAAGTGACAGGAAATTCAAAACAGAAAAATAGGTAAATCGCCCAATGGTGACATTTTTTTTGGTGGCCATTTTCTAAGAACAGATTTTTCTGACATTGAAGACATGTCCTCTGACCTCCTGTTGTGTCTACAGCACAAGACGTAAAGGTATATATATGCCCAACGGGACACATACAACAAAAAAGGGGTGGGTTTTAACCCTTCCCTATGCTATCCCAAACTAAAAAAAAAAGGGTTTGGCGATACACCTTAGGCCTTGAGGTAAGGGTCAAGCACATAAAATCCAACAGGCAAAATCTCTCCACTGGAGCTGATGGGTGGCTCAAGTGATTACAATACTAAGATTACATGTAACACATAAGAGGACTTACCTTCACATCGGAGAAGTAGGTTTTCAGCATGTTGGAACTGGGGTAGCGTGTGTAGAAAAACATAAGCTTGGCCTTTTTCAAATGATTTGGAGACAGACCTTCCTGCATGTAGAATTGTGCTAGTCAAGGAAAAGATTTTCCAGATAGAGATGACATTTTCAAATGAAAACAAAGACAGTAAAATATATATGTAACTTTGAATACAAATTTTGCAATATTCTAGCAAAATTTTTACACACTTATTAAAAATGTATTGGTATCATGTAATATATAATAATATACATTTTAAATTTAAGGAAATGTTCAGCATCTTTTTATTATTTTTTAACATAATATTCATTTTTTCCTAATTCAAGAACACATATTCTTTCACTATATGACCTTTATTTACTAATAACACAACTAACAGATATGAGTTGAGTGATGAAACAAAGTAAAACATGCACCATGTTCTTGAATTATTTCATTTACCATTAATCTGCTCACTATTGCAACACTTTAAATAAACAAAGATTGCTCAAAATTTCCAGGTAATGAGTCTTGTCCCAGCGTTCAATTACATCAATTACAGAGTATTTTAAAGAATCTTGATAATTATTTTTTTCTATTTTTTTAATGACACACCACTTAAAGGGAACCTGCCATGGGAAAAATAGCAGCTACCTTCTGTAAATTGTTATTGTTTGGCTGCCATGGCTCCTCTGGCTCCACAACTTAGTAGGTCACTGTATTTGGGGAATATATGCAGCTGTTGAAGGTAGATCTTCCAACCTGCATATGTGCTCAGTCACCTGCTTACTAACTAGTTACATCAGAAGATCGAGATGATAACTACTAATAGAAACATTACACAAAATAAGAAAGAAAATTAAAAAAAGAAGGAAAGAGAGAAAAAGAAAGAAAGAAAGAAAGAAAGAAAGAAAGAAAGAAAGAGAGAAAAAGAAAGAAAGGTTATATTTGTATTTTCTAGGTAAAGCTTTAATTCTTTGAATCTCATATAACCTCCAGTATGTCTTTTACCCAAGTGTCATCCAATCAGTTCATTTACAAGCGATCATCTTTCCAGTTCTTAGAAGAATCCCCGAACACAGTAGGAAAGAAGACTTAATTGACCTTGGGGGGCTACATTGATTTTCGCCACATGCATCTTCATTTCTGATAAATTATGAAGCCATTAATTTGCTGGGGAGATGGAGGGACCAGCCTGCAGCACAGATGTGTCCTAAGCAGACAGGCTTACTGCTCACTGAAATGCCAAGAAGTGCTGGAGGAGAATGAGAAGTCCTTAAATGTTAGGTCTCGTCCCCTGTCCTCCAGAAACCTGTGAGCACCATTCTACCCAAACGTTTCATAGATACATCTTTTCTTTCTTTCCTATCTATCTATCTATCTATCTATCTATCTATCTATCTATCTATCTCTCTATCTATCTATCTCTCTATCTTTCTATCTTTTTTTTGTATCCACAGAAAGATAATAATTAGTAACTGAACATATTTGATAACATTTGTATTTTCCACAGATTACATAAGAGCTAAAAAAATAAATAAAAATCTTTACATATAAAAGATATGAATGGCTGTATTTATCTGCTTATCTATCTATCTATCTATCTATCTATCTATCTATCTATCTATCTATTTTTTCTATGTATCTATCTCATATTATCTCATATCTATTAGTCTATATATCCATCTATCTATCCATCTATCTATCTATCTATCTATCTATCTATCTATCTATCTATCTATCTATCTATCTATCGTGTATCTATCTTTCCATCTCTCTATCTTTCTCTCTGTTATAATAAATAACCTTCATTTAAAGAATATAAATCACTACAAATGACAAACAAATGTATATGTTTAACAGAGTTCCTGATATATTATTGTAACAGTTTCTGCCTGTGAGGTTTAATCATTACAAAGGAAGGTAATTTCACTGACATACTTCTTGTGCCAAGAGAAGAATTGAAAGAACCTTCGGTTACCTCCATTAGACTGATGGAGAAGTCTAAAAGTGCATTATACTCTCCAGTGCCATCTGTCAAAATGCATAAATGAAATAACGGCAGCAAGCTGTCACCTACAGCTCGTAGATAAGGCTCGCTGGAAGTCAAAACTTCTGGATAAAATACATCTTTCTATCTGCGTGTCTTAATACGCTGTGAGATTTGAGGAAGACCGGTACAGAGATACTACTTAAAACATCACTGAGTTTCCTCTGCGATTGTAAATGGTTCCCTGGTTACTCTCTGCTCCTCCCTACCTAACAATGAGATAAATCACCTATTTGGACATTTATATAGATATATGGCTTAGTTCTAAATGAACACAAGTTTATAATATTCAGATTAGTTACATGAGTCTAAACCTTTAACTTTCTGTGATTCTGGTATGATGTTGGTGTCCACACCAGGATGTTACAACAAATGTATTTTTAAAAAAGTGTTGGAGGGGATAATTGAAAATAAACTTAAATCAGTAGACCTGTCATCAAAAAACACACTTCATCTGCAGGGCAGAATTACTGAATACATTTTTTTCGAGTAAACCAATACTTCCATCCTGCTCTGAGGAAAAATTACTTCTCTGACCTACATTATGTCACTTACCGCCCAGGCAAAGATGACATGGTCTTTAGATACCAGATGCACTGTGGGTGTATTGCATCATTAGAGACTGCAGAGTGTCTATGCTTTCAATCAGGTAGACTTTGTCAGCAAGTTGAGAAGATCAACTGGAAGCAAAGCCTTCTACTGTAATGATTCAATATTCACTTACGGGCAGCACAGAGGCGTAGTGGTTCGCAATTCTGCCTTGCATCACTGAGGGTCCCCAGTTCAAATCCCGGTCAAGACACTGTCTGCAAGGTGTTTACATGTTCTCCCTGTGTTTGCGTGGGCTTCCTCCCACACTCCATAGTCATGCTGGTAGGTTAATTGGCTCCTGTCTAAATTGGCACTTGTATGTATGCATGTGGGATAGATTTAGGACCTTAGATTGTAAGCTCCTTGAGGGCAGGCCTGATGTGAAAGTACAACTATGTAAAGTGCTGCTGTAATAAATACATGTACTTCCCCCATATAGTTACAAATCATACATTAAACATGGTAAAAAAACAACATACATGTGTATGTCAGGGCAAAACTTCATTCAGCACATCTCTCCGACACATGCACATTTCCCCATGTTACATCCCTTTAAAGGCACTGTAAGTACAGAATATACATGTTGATCTACCAGAAATGCAGTGTGCTCCTAATTCCCTGTGTGAGTTCAATTCCCAGTGCATTTGCTGCACTGAAATGCCAAGCATTGTTGTCAGCCCTTCCTGATGGACTAAGAACTCCCCCTATCCTGCACTCCTCTCTGTCCCTCTCCACATGCATGCATTGATTTCTTTCCCAGCAAAAAATTGCTGCCACCCTGACTCCCAAGAGCCTGCCCACACACTGTTTGTAGTTAAATGACTTCATCTCCCAAGAGTCATTTAACTACACACAGTGTGCAGACAGGCTCTTGGGAGATGTAGTTCTGGGGGGGGGGGGGTCCGTGTCTGGAAATAACAACACAGCAAAAAGCTGTTTATCACAACAGAAACAAGGTTAAAAAATAGAAAGAGGGGAGAAGAAACGTTTGGGGGGAAATTTGGGTAAGGCGTGGACATACCAATTTTTTTTAGTAATATCAAATAAACACTGAAAAATAAAAAGCCTATAGGCCCACTTTAAAAGTGGAGTATACCTTTAACTGAATCTGATGCTCATTGGAGCTACCATTAACAAGGCATCAAGTAGGCAGAAAAGACTAGCGCAACGCCTCCTAGCAAAGGCGCCATTTAGTAAATATTATATAAATGGACGATGGGTTACTTTCCCTTTTAAGTGATTGCACTGATGACCCAACTGTTCTTCCAAGAAAACCCAGACGGTTTCCAGGATACTTACACACGCATAATGAGTCATGATGGAAGAGACTCGGCAAACATACAGCTGTACTGAACGCGAGCTAAGCCCCATTCAAGGCCAGGAAAGAAAATGAGCACAAATAAATATTAAGGAGCTAAGGGAAGGGGGGAGGGGTGGTGCAAGGGATGGAGGGAGGG